GACTTCCAATTTTTTATTTTATTTGTGGTGCTCCCTTGGAGGTGTGTTGGGGGTGTCTGTGCAGGGTACCCCCTGACTTATTTAAAGCCCACCTGAATTTAAAAAATCCTGGCTACGGGCATGTCCCAAACCCAGCTGATGGGCATATTGCCTCGAGCTGCCACAGGTAGGTTTCTTTCCACTATGCACACCTGGAACTGTCAGCAGGACTTCTAGTGGCAAGGCTCCCATGCAGTGCATCACTGCTTGTATCTTCTCCGGGGACCTCGTATTCATATTCCTGCCGCTCAACCGTGGCCTACGCTACTTTCCGCTGCATTCCATCTAGCAGTTCAAGGGCCTGGCATTTAACACCTTTAAAAGCGCTTGTTTTGGAAGCCGGACAAAGCAAATATGCAAGAACCCCTTTTTCTGTAACTGTTCTGCTGAATGCACAGCCCTGCCATGCGTTATCTCTGGAATAAATCCTTCCTTCAGCCCAAGGAGCTGAAGTTATGGACTGTGGCAGAAAGCCTAGTCTGTGCTTATCACTATCAGCGGCATTATAACAACCTTCTTATAGTTGCTTCACAGACAAAATACGTTGAGTTAGATCGTATTCTACTATACACAGCTACAGTGAATTTGTCAGGTAGATACCGTCAAAGTGTTCATACAGCCTTATTACAGCTGGCAGGATGTAAACTTGAACAAAGACTTCTCTTGATCTGTCACAACTGCATTATGGGCTTACACAAATTAGTGCTAGGTAAAGCCTTCGGTGGGAAGGGAACAGCGTTCCGTGCGCCTTGGTGTTTAGTCATGCCGGCCACATGACCACGGAAACGTCTTCGGACAGCGCTGGCTCTTCGGCTTGGGAACGGAGATGAGCACCGCAGCCCTAGAGTCGGATTCGACTGGCTTTCGAGCAAGGGAACCTTTTCTTTACTTTAAAGCAACCAAGCGGCTGAGTATACTGGGCTGGATCCAACAGCTATTCCCCCTCCTGATCACTAGGAGTGCGTTTCCAGGGGTCGGTGTCGTGATTCCTTCCTTCCTTCCTTCCATTGCAGACTCCCACACTGTCTCTAGTGCCGTTCCTTTAAGTCGCCTGAGCCCTGGGGACAGCACAGGAGCTGTTCCGTGAGCAGTACTTTGGATCCACTACGTTTGAGTCAAAGCATCGTAAAAGTCTTGCTCAGGTAGCAACCGGAAGGAAGAATCAGCTCGCATTCCCCGCAACTTACCTCTTGTTGTGTGGAAATGTATTACAGTCAGGCAGTTGCAACATTTATCCCTCAACATTTGCTACACGAGGATATTAGAGGGCATCTGAACAAGTCTTATAGAGAAATGTGAAGACCTCGAAACTGGAAAAAAAACTAGAAATAGCTTTCCTCTCCCTGAAACTCCCCCCCCCCCCACATAGCTTCAAAATTTTTGGAAATGCTCCATTCATAGTCTCAAAAGAGGACATTAGAGGGCATCTGGACAAGTCTTATAGAGAAACGTGAAGACCTCGAAACTGGAAAGAAACTAGAAATAGCTTTCCTCTTCCTGAAACTTCCCCCCCTCAACATAGCTTTAAACCTTTTGGAAATGCTCCATTCATAGTCTCAAGCTAACCTTAAGGTTGCTCAAAACCTTTGTGGGGGGGGAGGGGAAGAGGGGCAGAAGCGGCACAACTGATGAGGATATTTATGACGACTACGAAGTGAACTTAGACCGATCTGAAAAGGCAAACACACAAAGGAAGCGCACGCTTCTACGCTCAAGGCAAGCATGCATTAATGTTTTTACACACCTGCCTAGAGAACTAAGGCAATGCAAGACACAGTTTCGTTAGGCCCAAGCAAAAAACAGCAAAGCAGCCACACAAAGCATGAGCGCGCGGTACCTCGGGAGGCGATTTCACTTGATAAAATGTTAAGGAGACTTCCCGCCCTTATTTCTTTCTCCTTCACTACCTTTCATCCAATTCAGAGCTCTGGCTGTTGGCAGACGCTAAAGTTTCCGCTGCAGGAAATACAGCTTCAGACTTTGGCACGAGGTTTTGGAACAGGGTGACTACCGAGAAGCAGCATGCTCAGCTAGAGGTCTGACTCAGATCTGCTCTGTGTGTCTTATCTGGGGGACTGATTTGCCACGGACGAGAAAAATATTGGCAGGCTTAGTTCTCAGGACAAGTTGCCTGCAAATAAGACACTCTGTGATCCTTTCATATATCCTATCAGCTGGCAGTCGCTACCGTGATCTCCTAAGCAGGAAGGCAATCTTGACCGTAAACTGATTTTATGGTCTCTAGTCCCCACAGCTATGCAGGCAAATGTCTTCTGGAAGCTGCAAAGCCGAGACCGAGTCTTCCGGGAAGACTCCACTACTGCTCACTGCCTTCTCCGTGGCTTCTAGTTTCCCTCGATTTCTCCTGCACTACAGTTTACAAGTTTTATTCCCTCTATAATCAGTACTGCACAATTATAATCACTGCCCAGAACTCAGTCTTCTTCTTCATCCACTGATCCAGTACCTGGAGTAGGAGGTTTCAGAAACAGAACACTGAAGCAATCCTTGCCCGTGTTACTCTGTTCAGGAGCAAGAGAGGGGTTAAGACAACATGTTTTGCAAACACCATGCAGTTCTTCAAAATACTTGGGATCCTCAAGCTGCTGTTACCCTTAGAAGACAGCAGGTGTGGCTCGGATGACAGGTCAGGCTCTGACACTGGCTGGGGAGACGAAGAAGTGCTAGGACTGGATGCAGCTGCTGATGCTGGAGGGCTTACCAATTTCTCTAGAAAGACAGAAGGGGGGAAGACAAAGCAAAGAGGGAGACCAGTAAGACACGAGGCTGCACAGACATCCAGTCAGACTGGGGAGAGAGAGATGTTTAAGAGCTGGTGCTACGTAGCACCTTTGAGAGCCTGTAGAATTTGACCTGGAACAAGGAAAGTGTTTGTTGAGTCACTATCAAAAGAACATTCTGCATCAGGCTCGACGGCAGTGGAAGGTGACATCGAGCCACAGCTGAATAATGGCAACCCCATAGGGTTTCCAAGGGTCCTTCATCCAAGTGGCGCCCAGGGTTGACCCTGCTTAGCTTCCAACATCAGGCGAGCCTGGACCATCCAGGTCAGCTCCCTAGCTCAATAGCCAACGTTAACAACAGACACTGTAGTATGCAAACCTGAACAAAAGGTTAAAGGGAGTACAGCGCTTCCACAGACAGTAGGACTGCTCACCCTTTTCAATTTATCTCAATCACCAACTTAGAAATGAGTAACTTTCTGCAGCCGGATGAGGACATCTAATGGGTACCACATGCGGACAGGTAGTACAATTCTTCTAATTCGCACTACGGTTCTCAAACCAATCCCCCCATTATAGTTTCACAGCTGAAGAACCAAAGCTGAGAAGTAGCGATTATTCAAGACCGCGCACAAGAGTTTGACGGAGATGGAATTAACACCGTCATCCCACCTCCAGCCTCAACAATCTCTCACACACCTTGAGCAGCTGCTCTAAAGACCCATTACTTTTTACAAGCTTCTGTTCGTAAAACCTGTTTATACCCTGTCAGCAGGTGAAGGAGATTTGCCACGTCATTTAGTAAGGAAAATAAACTTAATTCTGATAAGGCACTGGCTGCTATGCAACCAAGCATTCACCACCAAGAAAACCTTGCATACCTTGCACCTAAGCGCTCACCAAGATGGGCAGACAACAGGAGCAGGGTCACACCACAGAATGCTTCTCAAGGACAGAGAATGGAGAATTCCTAGGCATTGAGTCAGGGAGAACTCTCTGATATCTGTTTTCCACATGGAGGGAAGTGTTTGTATAGAGGAGCATTCAGTCTGAGCCGTGATCTACTGTCTGAAAAGCCACACCCCAGACACAAGCTGCCTGTTTCCGCAAGAGCGAGGCCCGTGTTAACTCACCTAGGCCGAGGGAAGCGGCATACTGCTGACTAATTAATGAGCTGGCGGCAAGCTGGCTGTAGGGAGGCATGCCTCTGAAGGGACTGTAAGGCACGTGTGGCTGGAAGGAGGAGGCCGAGGCGGAGCTCAAGGAAGACTGCAAAGAAAGAGAGCGGGATTAACCTAAGGCTCGAGGAACTGCTCTTATGCCCTCCCCACTGCTCTTAACTGAGCATGGCCACTTTTTAACATGGAGCATATTTAAACAAGTGCCAGTTGGTTTCATTTGAAGTAGCTATTGCCCAGCAACTCTGCAGATGTGTTCCCAATGCAAGTTCCATCATGAAGAAGAGGAGATTGTATTTATACCCCACCCTTCATGCAGAACTGATCTCTGTTGTCTGGAGATAAACTGTAACAGCAGGACATCTCTGGGCCCTACCTGGAGGTTGGCAATCCTAGTTTTGTTAGCTATCTCAAGAAGAAGAAGAAGAGATTGGATTTATACCCCGCCCTTCACTACCCAAAGGAGTCTCAGAGCAGCTTACAATGTCCTTTCCCTTCCCCTCCCCACAACAGACACCCTGTGAGGTAGGTGGGACTGAGAAAACTGCCCTTGAGAGAACAGCTCTCAGAAAACTTGTGACTGTCCCAGGTCACCTAGCAGACTCATATGGAGGAATGGGGAATCAAACCCAATTCTCCAGATTAGTGTCCGCCGCTCTTAACCACTACACCAAACTGGCGTATTCAAGTAGCACAATTCAAGTAACACAAAGACTGACAGGAGACACTCAATAAGGACATATTTTTATTGTAAGCCAGCAGGGAAAGAAAAAGCCCACCCAGTAGCAAAGCAGCCACCTGTGGTCTATCCCGTCACTTCAAGCAGCCTGTCTGGCATTATCCAAAGACCAGGCTTTTCCCACTGAGGTTCCTGTCTGTGGAACGGGCTCCTTGAAGAGGTGGGGGGGTCCCCTCCATGGAGATCTCCAGGAGGTGCTGCAAAGGCCTGCTTGTTTCCCAGGGCTTTTGAGGTGGTTCAATATTTTATTTTGGTTTTAACAGGATTTTTTAAAACTATTATTGTAAGCCGCCTTAAACGAGGAAATGTTCTAATAAATAAAGGCAGCCCTACGCAAAACCCACAGGTTAAGTGAGTCGTGTCATTTAAGTAGATAAGGACAAGTGATAAAAATAACAGACAGAAGCACCGATACAAGAGATGTGGGGGAAGAGAAGCAGTGCTCCCTCTAAGCTGTGGAGTCTTGTGAGCAAAAATTCTACTTTGTGAGCTACTGGCATTAAAGTTGTGAGTGAGTGATTTGGCTACTGCATAAATTAGTTTGCTCTGGAGCCATCCTTCCTGAGCTAAGACAAAAATGTGTGAGCTGGAGGCTAAAAAACTGTGAGCTAGCTCACACTAACTCAGCTTAGAGGGAACACTGAAGAGAAGTGTCTCTTTGGCACCTAAAGCTCAACAAGCTCTTACGATTTTATCCTGCTCTTCCCTCCTGCAACAGGAAGGGAGTTCTTCAGCTGAGGCACCATAAATGAGAGAAGACCCTCTTCTCAGGTGCTTGCCCATCTTCGTCCTGAAGGCACTCAGAGCTGGGCGTTCAAAACTGACCTTACGTGCACAGCAGGCTCATGTGAGAAATCAAGGACCTTTACATCTCCATGCCTGAGACCATATGGGCTTTATAGGGAGCCTGGAAGCGAACTGCGAAGCTTTCAAAACCAGCAAGGTGCTCTCTGCATTTCACAACAGCAAGAGGTCAGGCTGCTGTGCTCTGTACTAATTGTAGCTTTTGAACACTTTTCAGAGGCAGCCCCGTATAGAAGCATATTGCAGCAATACAACCCGGATGTGATCAGGGAATTGATAACTGTGGTTAGCTGCACCTTGCACACCAGCTGAAGTTGGCTACGTGCCACACGGAGGTGCCAGGCTCCTCTCCGCAGACACAGGTCTACCGCAAGCCTGTTCTATAAGGGGGGGGATGCAATAATTCCTCAGTTGGCTGCATTACTGACCAACACCCCTTCAGTTTCACCTAGACTGAGTTTACCGACCTTTATTCAGTCCATTACTGAATGAAGATACTTGTTCAGGATTTTCATTGTCTCTGCTAGAAGGGAGTAGAACTGTGCATCAGAACACCATGACCTCTCCCCATGGTTTATCATGTAGACGATTAATGAACTGAGAGATGGTACAGCTCTACAGGATCCGAGAGCAAATGTGCCACACAGCTCTCCCCAGCACCACCTTTTGATACTGGTCAGTCAGATGGGACTTATGCTCCTACAAGACAGTGCCCAAGATGCCCATGTTGGCCAGCTGGTCCAAAAGCACATTACGATCAATGCTATCAAAAGCCACCAAGAAGTCAAGGAGGACAATCGGCCCTTGCTCTGCCGGCAAAGGCCACGATGCCAGGCCAGAAGCCAGTCCCAAATGGATCTTGTGAACCCCATAACTTCAATATAGAACAGGCGAGCATATATGCAAGAAGCTACAGCAGCAAACAAAAAAAAGCAGTTCAAGTCAACTGTTGTTACTACTGTTAAGAGTTTGGAATTCAGATTTTGACTAACCAACTGTATAATATTTCATACAGCAGCAAGAGAATGCTCTTGTTAAAGAGCAGAACATAACTGAGTCTCCACAGTGACTTTCGATGTTAATGCCAGTCTTTCCCCATATGTATTGGACACATTTGAGGCCAACTTGAGGCCAGGTACACAAGGGATCCAAAGAGCTGCTTTAAGCACACCAATAACCTTGATCCAGTACAGTGCTGATACTGATCTGTGTGGGATCATAAAATGCTTTTTGAAAGTTCTGGCAACAGAGCATGGGAGGCGATTACTGTCTGAGAAACACAATCAGTAAGACCCCCTTAGGCACACAGAACTAGTTGTGCCACTCACCGCATCCCAGGTGTAGTTTGGCCCACCAGCCAGGTAGCTATCCAGAAGAGCAAGGAAGTTTTAGAGGTGCGGTATTTGGCTCTGCACAAAGCCTGTGATTTAAGACTTAAGGGATAGGTGGCATTGCTGTTGGCAGTCAGCAGAAACTGGGAGGACAGAAACCAGATCTACCGAACTGTATCAATTTCTTCGTGTAGTTTAAAAGGGGATTAAATAGATTAATGGGAGGATGAGTTTATCAGTGGCTACTAGCCATGGTGACTGAGAGGAACCTCTACATTCAGACACACTAATCCTCTGAATTCCAGAGCCAGGAGGTAGCGTCAGGGGAACATCTTGGCCCATATGCCCTGTTGTTGGCCTTCCAGAGGAACTGGTTGGCCACTATGTGAGACAAGATGCTGGACTAGATAGACCACTGGTCTGATCCAGCAGGTCTTTCTTATGTTCTTATAAGCGAAAATGACAGACGTCTCCATCCTCAGGGCACAGCCAGGATTACCAGCATTCATGCTTGCTCTCAAGACTGCACCGCCCCTGTGGTTTCCTTCCTCATGCTGGACTTTTGTGGAAGGTGTTCTGCAGAAGCACGCTAAGAAGGATCTCTGTGCCAGACAGAGCAGGGCTGAGTGTCAGAGTAGGGAAGGCTGCCTGGTGCTAGCAAGTAGCATGCGGATTTATAGAGCCTCACTTCTGACTAGAGAGCTATAAAAACCAACTACTGTTTCTAATTAATAATTAAGTCACCCCGGGCTAGAGCTAAATAGGAGTAATGAACTATCCAAGACAAAGTGGACTTTTATTCCTAGGAATATTTAAAGCCCGTTGTCGTCTTGCTGGAAAGGTCTTGAAGAGATGCAGCGAGTTCACCTCGCAGGATGAAATTGCTGCTGGCACTCCAGGTGGAAAAAATCACTTACTTGAACAATAGCAGGATCCTGAGGCAGATTATGCTGCGCTTTCGGGGGCTCACATACGGTGATGTCCTTGATGTCACTGCCACGGAAGATGATGTATTCGTAAACTTCCTCCCTTGGGGGGGCGGGACGATCCGTGGGACGATCTTCAGTTCCAAAGGAGCGCACTTAGTGTGTGAAAACAAACCAGATGTTAGCACCTGACCTAACAAGCTGTATCACACTGCCTTTATGCAAATGGCCCGCCTAGACAACCACCAGGCTCCTTCCTCATTGAAACACACCCATCTCAATTCTCAAAATGAACTAGCCTGCCTCTTAAAAGGAGCTGGGATGTCTGCTCCGGATTACTAGCCAGCCAGACCACTACAGCCTGACTGGGCCAAGCAATGACACCAAGCCTACTGGCTCCTAATAAATGCAACGTAGGTAGCCATTTGTTTGTGCCAGTTAGATGCTGCAAGCTCTCTTTTCTCCTCCTATTATACTATATATCTTTGGGAAATATGGACAAAGCTACTCAAATGCAGAGCTATCAGTGGCCGTAGTTTTCAATGACAAGTTCCATTACAGAAAAGGAGAGCAGTGGCCATCAAAGAAGGGTCAATTCAGGAGCACCATTGCTAGCAGAAACGGAATAAGCAGATTTACTGTTCATGATAGCCGCAGGACCAGAATTTTTACAGTATCTTGACTTTGGCAGTGAGACTGTTAAGCAGAGGGTGAAAATGGAGATAGGCAAATAGGAAATCAGGAAAACTAGGGCAAGCACGAGTCTTGTAGGGCAGCCACCTGGTCTTTGCTTTTTTCCTTCACTGTGTCGCAGAGAGATTGTTGCATAAACTGGGATTCTGATAACAAAAATAGAGGGCTGCAAGTGGACTGCAAAACAGAAATCATTCCAAGTTCCAGCAGCAGGTCTGACTCTGGGACATGCTCATATCCCACAACTTCTAGAACACGTGCAGTTTTCTGATTGATATGAACATTGAAGAGTCTCTTCCCTACTGAATGAGTTTGACAGCACTGCTTGCAGCCCATGGAACTGCCTTATATTGAATCAGACCCTTGGTCCATCAAAGTCAGCATTGGCTACTCAGACTGGCAGCAGCTCTCCAGGGTCTCAGGTAGAGGTCTTTCACATCACGTACAGCCAGATATTTTAACTGGAGATGCTGGGGATTGAACCTGGGACCTTCTGCACGCCAAGCAGAGGTGCTACTACTGAGCCACGGCCCCTCCCTTCTAGCCTCAATTCCCACAGGACACTGACCTTTCTGCACTTAGAAACAGAAGGCTGCAAGCACCCTGCTTAGTACAGACCAAGATCTGGGGGGGAGGGGATGTCCTCTATAGCAGGTGGCTTTTGGAGAACCACTGCAAGGCAGTTTGGATTGCCGATGCCACAGCGGGAGGGATGGTGCTATATAAATGTATGTGAGTGAGTGGTGGAACTTTTCCCTTAAGGTCAAAGCCTCTGCGGCTGTTCACACTGGACAGAAAAGGGTTTGCCTTTATGGTTGCAGAACTGAATGTTCACCGAGGAATGATCTCTGCTGTGTCAAAATCTAAGGTTTTGAAAGGGGTAGGGAAGAACGAGTGTAGTGCAGCGGTTGTAACACTCCCGAAATGTCAGTGTCTGAAACATCTACTTTCTTATAGAGCCTTACTGCTTTAAGAACTAAATACATTGTTCATAAGCTAGTTAGCCTATAAAACTATCTGGCATAGCTATGAAGTTTGAAAAGGACAAATGCTTTAGCTTTGTGACAGCCAAACATGCAATATGAGAGGAAGGACACCAAAAACTGCTCCCTCCTAATGCCTCTCAGAAAGATGGCGGCACCTGTCAGGTGCAGAAATACTTCTTCCCTGACATTCGTTTAAAGTTTGAAATATCAGAAGGGAAGCAATAAGTTATGGATTGATGAAGATTCAGGCATCGCTATGTGGTGGGCTGCTCCATGTCCTCCATTATTTACTGTATTTATATCCCACCTTTCTCTCACATGCAGACCCAAAGCGGCTTACATAGTTCTCCTTTCCTCCGTTTTGTCCTCACAACAACCCTGTTAAGGTAGGTTAGGCTCTGTGTGCAACTGGCCCATGGTCACCCAGCAAGCTTCCATGGCAGAGTAACGGCTTGAACCTGGGTTTCGCAGATCCTAGTCCAACATGGCTACACCACACTGGCTCTAAAGAATACACACGTCAGTCACTTTCACACCACAGCTGAAGACATCAGTAGAGGCTTCCTTTGCTATTGCACAGCACTAGAAGCTTTAGCAAAGTCCTCCCTCATCCACCTTAGCTATCCACTCCCATTTGCTTGTGAGCCCCCCCCCCCAAGGTCAAAGCTTCCATCACCATCCACACGGGATACAAAGACTTTGTTTTCATTTACGCAGAACTGAATATTCAGGTGGGGTCAAGTACATTAATTCCATGTTTCGTTCAAAATGACGCTCACGTGACTGTAAAGTTCCTCAGCCACGCGAGGCTCCTCTATAACCACCTGGGGCTCAAAGCCAATTGAACAGAGAGATTTAAGGCCAGAGCTCCTGAGCTCTAAGATCAGGAGCTTTCTGTCCTTGTATAGCATCAACATTTAACCACAGCATATTCACTACTTCATAAACAAGGGCCGTTTTGGTAACAGAACTTGAGAGACTGGAGATAAACTGAGGGCCTTTTTTATTTTAGGAAAGGGGACCTTGGCAATCCTGGAATAGCAGGAGCAATTTACTCACAACTGGCATGGTATGAAAAATTCTAGCTAAGCAGAGCGACTCACCCGGACCTGGATGGCCCAGGCGAGCCCAACCTCATCAGATCTCAGAAACTAAACAGGGTTGGCTCTGGTTCGCATTTAGGTGGGGGGACCACCGTGGAGGCAGGCAATGGCAAACCACCTCTGTTCGTCTCCTGCCTTGAAAGCCCTACGGGGTCACCTTAAGTCGCCTGCCACTTGACGGCACTTTCCACCACCAAGTAGAGAATGCCCCAACCTGCATGACTCAGGCTAGCCCAACCTCATCAGATCTCAGAAACTAAACAGGGTTGGCTCTGGTTCGCATTTAGGTGGGGGGACCACCGTGGAGGCAGGCAATGGCAAACCACCTCTGTGAGCAGTCCTCTCGCTGAGTGGCAGTTCATAGCTAGGAAACCATAAACACCCTCCCTAATATATATCATCTCAAATATCTTAAGAGCAATACACTGCCCGGCCCAAAATGACACAGAATGGATGCCGACCAGAGACAAGCCTGGATACTTAGTTTAGAAGTGTAAGTAAGAACAGCTGGCTAGCTAATGACCTCCTCCCCATCCTAGGGACAATAATTTAGGAGAACGGGTCTCCCAAGAACCTACTGGCCTCATCAACACCCAGCCCCACTTCCCTGCACCCATCTACCCTAATTAAGCAACACTTAATTCTACTCACCAAACCCAGTAGCTTTTCCCATCCGGTACTTACAGGGTAATCAAGCACCGAAAAACCCATCGAGTTGTTGGTATAGGGATGAATATGTCAGCTGGCCCCAGGGAGCATTTTTCCCTATAAGTTATGGCATCCTGCTCCATAGTTGTGTGTGTGTGTGTGTGTTCTTGGATCCAAAACATCACACCCCCAAATCTGTTTGGGCCTTCTCTGCTGGTGATTTTGCTGCTGCCTCTGCAGACCTCTTGCTTCGAGATTGGCGATGATAGCCTTCCCTCAAAATTGCTTTCTCCCCCCTCCTCCTTGATTTCCTCTGAGTTAGCCTTGTATGCGTTTTCAGTGTGTTTGTATGCATACTTTATTCTTTTATTCTCCTTTAATAAAAACCTTTCAAGTTAAATATTTGCCTGGTTGATTTCAGTACAGAAGAGTAAGAGTCCAGTAGCACCTTAAAGACTTAAAGTCTGTGACAAGGGTAGGAGCTTTCCTGAGACACTGCCAATGTTCCCTGTAAGCTGAGCTAATGTGAGCAAACTCACAGTTTCTTAGCCCCCGGCTCACACATCCTTGTCTTAGCTCAGGAAGGATGGCTCCAGAGCAAACTAATTTACGAAGCAGCCAAATTGCTCACTCACAACTTTAATGCCAGGAGCTCACAAAGTAGAATTTTTGCTCACAAGACTCCACAGCTTAGTGGGAGCCTTGGTCACTGCTCACTTCTTCAGATACAGCTAGAATGTGAGTCCATTTTGAGAGTTCTCTTAAAGGAAAACCCCCCTGTAAACATTGGTGGAGAATCCCCGTTACCCCCTCTGACTTTAAAGCTAATTTCCTCCAATTAATTAGGAGACCGCCCATTTGGATAACACCCCTTAACGTCTCTTGCCTTGCAAACCCTACAGGGTCGCCATAAGTCAGCTGTGACTTGACGACAACAACAACAAAAAAGGGCCACTCATGTTTTATCGGTGCACATCAAACAAAACAAGAAAATCGGCTCAGTCATGCTTTTTGCAGGAACCTGCTATGAGGCAAGGCGACAGCACCAAGGACCTTTTGAGCAATAACGCCAGCAAAGGGGTGGAGCTTAACCGAAGCTGCCCACAAGGTAAAGCAACTGCAGAATACACAGAGCCATACAAATGAATTGCTGGTTGTTGCCATCTCCCTTCTGGGTCAGAGAGAACAAGATAAGATAGCAAGAACAGGCTGCACCGAGTCCGCCCTGTGCACTTCTGTTGCCTGGCTACTGGGTTTCATTCTTTCTAAAAGGCGGCAGGGGGGGTCTACCCTTATACAGGAATCGTAACACGAGTGCACAGTTCTGCCATCTTTTCTTAATTAAGAGGCTGTGCTGCTCCATGAAGATGGTGGAAAAACTGAAGAGCGCTTCACAGCCTCAGACAGCTTACCATCCCCACCCTTCGCGTGGCTAAGATAGCCAGCAATTAAGCTCTCAAGATACTCTGGGTTTCCACCGCTCCGCAGCCAAAGCTCGCCAAGCGACTAACCACCCCTCCTGGCTCCACACGGCCATACATCAATAGCTGACTCATGAAAAGCAGCAGGCTACGGCTGAACTGAAGCAGTTCTGCCCACTTACAAGACTGGCTTTGTTCTCCCTCCTTCCCTCGCAGCTCTGGCGGGTCGCAGTCAGATCACACCTACGGCCCCAAAGCAGAGCAGAGGCACCCTGCGCCCCTCCTCCGACACACACTTTTAACCTTACACCCCGGCAACCTGGAAAAAAACACAGCACGTATGCCGTCTTTCCCCTGCTCCCTAATGCGTGAACCCAAAACAAGGTGGCTGCTACTAAGAAAAGCCACTGTAAGCTGACACATGACTGACTCACCAGCCCGAGACCATTGACCAAGCATGCGGGAGGGGGGGGATTTGCAGTGCTTTATGGTGCCCCTTCCCCATTTACAGCCGTCAGAAGTGGGGGCTCCTGCAGAGAACAAAGCTTGAGAGGAAAGGGGGGCTGCGGAGGACGAAGCTTAAGAGAGCCCTTCCAGAATTTACACAGGACCTGCAGAAATCTAGGCCACTTCGCAATGATCAAGGCAAAGACCCCCCCCAAAAAAGACTATCTAGAGCATCCTAGGTCTATTTGTTAAGCCTTCATAACACGGCTCTCAGAATACTTATCTAGGGCACTTAACTATCCTCTCCCTTAGAATGAACGCAAAAACACCAGCAGCCATCCTCCTGGCTTTCAAAGCAACGTGGATGAAAGGAACATGACCTACTTATTTCTTCCAAGTTTTTAGAGGAGGGAGGCTTCCCTTTACCACACAACCTTCCAGCCGAAAGGGGATCAAGCTAGAGGAAGCGGGCATCCTTACAGTCTTGGGCTCTTACAGGGTCGGGCTAAGGGGCAGGATGCCAGAGAGAACTCCCTTCTCTTGCTTCAGCCATTTGCTAACAAAACATGGGCTGACAGGCAGACGCTCCTTATCTGGCAGCATGACACGAAACGGAGGGAGAACAAGGACAAAGTAGATGAAGTAGTGAGACAAAGCTACGGTGACCCTTCCTTTCCTGACGCATATCCTCTGGCTTTGCTGCTGCTACCCCTTTCCTGGATAATCAAGTCCAAGCAACCTTCTCTATTGTGATGACTACAAAGATGCAGAAAATGCACCTTCTAGTAAAGGACGTGGGGTATCGGGAATCACTGTGTGCGTCTATGTCAGCAGTAGGGGGAAACCAGAACCATTCAGAAAAGTTAGAACTCTAGACTTCACCCTATCCTTTCCTCTACAACAAAATCCCTATGGAATTGAAGGGGGGCGGGGAGAAGGAAGTCAAACAGCACGCTGAGGCCTCCGAAAAGCATGGAGGAAGGACGTTGGCTGTTGGGTGCAGGTAATCCACTGAACAAACACTCTTTTATCATTAAGGATTTTATAAAGGGAGACGAGTAGAGGAAAGTGGTCCAGAGTATGCAAGCCCAAATCTCCAGGAAAGGCTATGGGTAAGAGGGAGAGAGAGGGGAGGACGAAGAGCCACAATGCCTAGAGGGGCTAGATTCGAGTGCAGCAGCACCTTAGAGACCAACAAGCTTTCGAGAGTCAGAGCTCTTGACAAAGGGAGCTTTGACTCCTCGCAGCTGCAGCAGCTCGAAGCCCATGTCGTTCTCAAAGTGTGTGCTGCGTGCCTGTAAAATGGAGTCAAGTCACAGCCAAGTTACGGCAACCCCCGGAGGGCTTCCACGGCAAGGGAGTAAGCAGAGGTGGTTTGCCCTCCCCTGCAAAGACTTCTAAGGCTCGAACCTGGCTGTTCCGCTGCAGACCAACACGCGACCCTCTGGAAATGTCTCCAGGGGTATCCTCCCGCCCCCCATGTCAAGGGCCAGAAAACTTCTACCCCCC